AAGTGGTTTTTTTTTTTTTTCCCAAAACACAAAACTACATTTTTTTTTTTTTTTTTTTTTTTTTATCCCAAGACTTGTCTTCTGGCTTCACTTAAAGTTCTTCTAGCCACGTTTTCCCTGGTGGTTTTACCAACCGTTGCAACAAAATATTTGGATTTAGTGAAGTGTGTGTGTTTAAGGAACTGGTTGATGGTCCCTTTTGACGCGCTGACATTTTTGACCTACTGGTTTACCACCTTTTAAACCTGTGGCTTAACTGGTGCATGTCAAAGATGGATTCTGATGGTTCCTGCTACATTAAACAAAATTGGCTTTTTAATATGAAACTCTCCCACATATGATACTGGAAACTTTGCACAGACTAGTGAAAAGTTCATGTAACCTACTGAAAAGCTCTCTTTCAAAGTAGTGAGACCTGTTCATATACAGTTGTGGAAAGTTTTCATTACCTCATGGTTGATACAAGTGGTCCAATGGCAAAGTGTTTCTTTTTGTACCAAAAGTTGAGCATTAAATGCCCTAAAGTCCAAACTGGCGAGGTGCCCCAAATGACCAGCTCCTGTGTTTCTCTACATTAAAATTGAGGCCAACAAAAGTGTAAACACTTGTACAGGCTCAAAAACGCTGAGTACAGGATTGACTGCTGCTTGTTCTGTTTACCTCGGAGTGCTTCCGCACATAAAACAAGGAACTGTGAAATTGAACACCGTTTTTAAATTAGAAAGTCCTCTCTTGTTTTGCCTGCATGTCCTCTTGACCTTGGTGTGATTTCTCCTCCCAGGCGTTGCACAACGCAGATGTCGATCCTACCTGCAATGTCGGCGTCTGTGTTCAGCTTGTTCTCCCTGCTCACCTTAGTCCTGCTGCTTCTGTTGTGCGTCATACGGAAGAAAAGAAGGATGGAGGGGAAGTACAGACCCAGCGCAGAGGAGAAGAAGCAATCGAGAGCAACCGCGCCCGAGAGGCCCAGGCTGCCTTTACCGTTGCCCAAAGAAGAGCGGCTTATATAAAGACATGGATTGAATACCCTTGATGTTACTGTGGTGTGTGTCTCACAAACGGATGCTCTCTGCACCAAAATGTTTTCAGATCATTCAAACACTTTTTTTCATCCTGGGTGAAAACAAATGGACCGATCGAACAATCGGAGCGTTCTGTCACTCGTTTCACGGAGGGAAGAGAAGTGGAGAGTTTGCTAACAGTTTTCCTATTTAAACACTACTCACTTTTTCTACCATTAAAATATGAGCTGCAGTACATTTTGTATTTAAAGGCACATTAAAATATTTTTTATGTTTTGCATATTAGTTTTCCTAAGACACTAACTGGAATGCACTTTTTATATATCGTATTCAAAGGCTTAATGTCGAACAAGTGTGCACACATGGTGTGCAAAGCGTCTGATTAAAACCAGTGTGTGCAAATGAATTGTTCCTTTTCATTTTTTCTTGGTTAAAAAGACACTTACAATGGGCACGTTTTGTTTGTTAAAGCTATTTATTCAAATTGTGTGAGAACAGTCCACAAAACTGCAAAGGTCATTTTTAAAAATGTCAGTTTGTGCAGGAAAGAAACTAATGTTCTACAAATCTAAAAAATACACTTTACGTGTTTATAATAAATGGCATTTTCACATTTAAGTTAAAAAAAATAAACAGTGCTTTTAAAGAAGTTCCTTTTTTTTTTTTTTTTTTGCTTTTTTGACTTGTGGTTCTTGTACCATTATCACCAATAGTTTCCTTACCTGTAAAAAAAAAAATATTTAAATACAGCATTGGTGTTTGAGTCAACATTTGAGTGATGTGGCAGAAACACCAATTCTCACAATGAGTTGACTGACTTTTTTTAAAATCCAAATAAGACTTTCACCAAACCACAAAACCTCTGAAAGGCACAGCATCTTAAAGTTAGTTTATCCAATCAGGCTGATGATCATTCACTGGTGGAAGAGGCTGGGGAAACCTCCTGAAAGTAATTTTTTCAGCTCCAATGTAGGTTTTTTTCCCTTCCCTTTGGTAGCCATACAATTTAAATTTAAAACTTTTCAACATGCTAACTGCTATAGAGCCGTGCAGACTGAGGTTAAATGGTGAGGCCATATCCTTCCTCTAACTCACTTAGAGTAAGGATATGGCTGATTGGTTCTATTATGTCTTTTTACAGGTATGGAAATGTTTGCTAAAAAGTTCACAGAACTTGACTCAAAAAATCCAAGCGATCCCTTCAGCCCAGTGGTTCTCAGTCCTGATCCACATTGTCCTTCCTGTCCTAGATGTCTCTTATTTGGCACACCTGATTACAGCATCACCCCTCACCTCCCTGGTGAGATGTTCTGGGAAGACCCAGGACTAAATGTTTCTCAGCTGACCATGGAGCACCTTGTGCTTCTCTGTTTAGGCTGCTGCCCACAGCAACCCAATCCCAGATTGAGCAGATTAGGATGGATGTGGGAACAGGGAATACTCAAATTCCTGGAGGACAATGAGTGCTGAGGAACAGGATGGAGAACCACTGCTTTAGCCCGTCTGGTTCATGGCTTTGAAACGTCACTTAAGTTTCAATTTATGTTGCTTGGAAAGGATGAGCTCAAACAGTTCAAGCAATTTAAAAAAGAAATAAAAAACAGAAGCAATGGGGACGAAGATCCTAGCAACCACTGAAACCAGCAACTTCCAGCCTGAGAGTTTAACGGTTCAATGAATGCCATAAATAACATTTTCTTTGTTTTTTTTTTTTTGGTAACTTTATTTGAAGGGGTGTGCATAAGACTGACATAACACCTGTCATGAACATGAAGGAGTCTTTATGAATGTCTATGACGGTTGTCATGAAGTGTCATTCGGTAAATAATGACACTTTTAATGCGAAGTTGCTCAAAAAGTTGCATTAAAAGTCCATTAAAAATGGCAACTTTACATTAAATTATCATAATTTACAAAATCATGCAAAGTTGACACTTTTAATGGACTTATAATGGAACTTTTAGAGCAACTTTATTAAAAGTGTCATTATTTACTGAATGACACTTCATGACAACTGTCATAAACATTCATAAAGACTTTATGTTCATGACAGATGTTGTCGTGTTTATGACAGTGTCATGTCAGTCTTATGCACACCCCTTCAAATAAAGTGTTATCTTTTTTTTCTTTTTGAGTTAATAATGATGCTTTAGTTTGATCCTGAGCCCTTTCTAAAACCAAAAATATTTACTGCTTCCTATTTCCTTCATCTTCAATAAAGCTAACGGACCTGCCTCTTAGCTTAGCAAAGAGATACTTTGGGTATTTGTTTGCATGAAACCCCCTTCTGCCTTCGGAGCATCTTGGAATCCCATTGAGCTGGAAAGTGTTGATGGGGATGTTTGGGTTTCCACCTAAACCAGTGAAAACTGAGATGTTACCATCAAGCTTCAAATCTCTTCTTCAGTTCAGACACTTTGATCGGAGGGCGGTCTTCCTCCTCAGACGCCTCTGCGTTTCTGTTTGCGTCCAACTCACATGGAGTCTGTACCTTTTCTCTGCATCGCAACGCAGGCTCGGCAGAGTTCTTAGAAACGGACCTGAGCTGAAATCCCTGCTGGCCGTGTGGCTGACATTGGAAGCGCGCTACGGCGGAAAGGACTTTGGGAGGAGGCGAGGTCACGCGGGGCCCCTGCTCCTCCTTCTTTGGGGTTTTATCACTCTCTTTCTCCTCAGATGGAGGCGGTTTAGACTCGGCGGTAATGTCGTCAGGCTCCGGTGGGACTGTAGCGTCATTCTGCGGCTCTCCCACCGAATTCAACAGCAGGTCTTCTCTGTTCACACACTTTAAGTTCAATGTTTCTGTAGAATCATTATTTGTATCCTTCTGTGTTTCTTTCATTTCTTCTTTTGTCTCATTTTCCTGCACGTTATTCGTTTTCCCTTCCTCCTCTTGTAACACAGCTACCTCCTCGCTCTGAGTTCCCTCATCTTTCCCGTCATCCTTCATTCTTTCGTCTTCTTTTCCTTCAGTCGTTTCTTGCGAGCTTTCCCCAAAGCTTGCTATGTCTTCTTTACTTGGCTCCTCTTCTATCTTCACTTCCTTAAAGTTATCGCTGTTGGTTATTTCCTGCTTCTCATTTATTTCTCCATCAGATTCTCTCTGTTTTTCCCTGACCTCCCTTTGTTTCGCTTCGTGCTCGGCGACCTCACTTGCCACCAGGAGACATTCTGCTCCTTCCTCCTCTAGCAAGCTGCTGTCCAGGCCGTGCCAGTCCGAGTCCTCCGTCCGATCCGAGAGCTCCTCTGTGGTCTCCAGATTCCAGCTGTGCAAGCTGCCGCTGCCGCTGATGGACAGAGACAGGCTCTCCTGGCTGGGGTTGCCTGGAACACGCTAACAACCACATAAAAGAGAATTAGAACTGACTTCCAAGCGGGAGTGCTGATCGTTTCCTTACTGATTTACCTTAATGATGTAGTCATGGCTGTCTGGTCCAAACAAATCCAGGCTGCGAGTGCCATACAACAGGCCTCGGTCGTGGGAGCTGCGCGAGCTAAGAGTGTCAAAGATCTCCCCCAGGAGATCCATCTCCTCTGAGTCGCATAACGGTGAATCGTCTTCGTCTTCTTCTTCTTCCTTCAGAATCTCGGAGTCAGGCTGTCCAGCGAGCCTCGAGTTCTCCTCACTGAGAACAAAAAATAACATCAATAAAACTAAATAGAAGTTAGAAATAGTGATATTATAATATAAATATGCGTAGCAGGTGTCAAATGAAATGCTTCATCTACTGCATTGAGAAATTATTTAGTAAATAAATGAATCAGTTGGGGTTTTTTTTGTTGTTTTTTTTCACTCTTGATTTCCAGAGACAGTATTCTAGGTTATTTTATGTGTGGCTTCGTTAAACAGAGCAACAGACTGTCATGTGTTGGAATCATAAAGTGGAAACAAAACCTCGAAAAAGGGAAGAGATAAAAAAACTAGTTTCCCTTTGCATACGTCACAGATGTCAGCAGTTGGTCTTCACTTGGCCACGTCATGCTGTTTTACTTTGGGCCCATTTTGTTGGATCGCTATGATCAATGCATGTTCCCTACATCTGAATATATTGTTTATGTGAAGAAAAGAAAAAACATCTCTTAAAAATATAACCAAAGGTTCTCAATAGACTTCCTGGTTGGGTTCTTCTAATGTCCTGACGTTTCTAAATAATATCACAAACAGTGATAATAAATTGTATTTATGTTCTACAGAGCAGGAACTTGATGAGAAACAGTAAAAATAATTATTTTAAAAATGTAATTTAAACATGGCTGCAACAGGCTTTCATATTCATTTTGCAACAAAAAAAATAAATTAAACCTATCTTCCACTTTTGACAAAATAAAGCAGACCTTTTAGTTATAGGTTTGGCCCTTGGCTGGAGCTTTAAAACTGGGGACCGTTTGAGGAGACTAATGGTGTATTAGTGGATTTCCCACCTGTCCCAGAGATCTTCTGTGTCCTTTGTGATGTCCTTGTCTCTGATTTTCTGAGCAGGTCGGCGAGGCCGTGACTAATGGAGTAGAAAACCAAGACCAGAAAAAGAAAATATAACAAAAACAGTTGGAAGACGGCACAAAACGGGACTGTCTGTCTTACACATTTAACTTGATTCAGATGTAGATTTGTTTGCTGGAAACAACAACAACAAAAAAAAAGTCTTACTTTTCCAAAGTGTTGTGTGATGGGCAGGCGGCTCTGTAAGCTGTCAGACTGGACACGGCGGTGTGACATCGATCCGCCCCTCTGGAGGCTGCGGTCCTCATGGTGGACCTGCATGACACACGGTGAAGTGAGTAAGAGAAGCCAGCAGCATTCGGGTGAATCAAAGCGTTTGCCTACATGAACACGAGCCTACCTTGTGAATCAGCAGGTTTTTCAAACCGGATTTGGTGAGACCTTTAGTCTGTTAGAGACAACAATGAAAAGTTAGGCGGCACCCGCAACACAGAGCTGTCCTCCCTTAAAGCCCAGTCACATCTGGACTCACCTTCATGTTTGCTTTGGTCTTCATGTTTAGGATGAGAGCGCCGCCCCCTTTCTGTTAGAAGTACAACGACATGAATGTTAGGACTTTCCTGGCCAATAAGGAAAACAGATGTAGTCAAATGAACTTACCTTTAAATTGCCAACTAACTGCTGATAAGATTTGCCTCTTCCTAAAAAAAAAAGAAAAAAAAATCCAAAAGAAAGAGTTTTAATTCAACAATATGAAAAAGATATATTCTCATAAAAGGGAAGTCCCAATCTGACGTCAAGTATTGACTTCATTCATGACTTCTTCTTTAAATGATAGGTTTTTTTAGCCCCTGATTAATCTGTCACTGGCTCCTAATCTCTATAGCTGCTGTTCTGTCTTTGGTTTTGGCATTTTAAACACCAGGTAGTCCAAATATATTACGTATCAACAACAAGTCATATCAGACAGAGATGCTAGCGCCAACGTTGCTATTCAGCAGAAGGAGCATAACTTAGGTTTACAAAAACTGTTGACTACATCAAGTCAAATGGTTAAAATATCTGTCAAAAAATAGACACTCCAGCATCCAGAGTGTCACTGATGAGTAATTTAAAAATCATAAAATGCACTGTCCTATTTTACCGCAAAAGGAGACACATGGTATTGATTTTATGAAAGGTGATCGCGATAAGATATTCCTAAAATGACAAAAATAAAGAAAATAAAAAAATCTGCCTTGTGACATCCTCAAGACATACGGATACACACCTGCTGTTGTTTCACACTTTGTTATCTCTTCCTCGAAAAGGTCATCGAGTTCTTTCCCTTTGTTAAGAACATCCAGGCGACCGTCAATGAACTGAAACAAACAAGTGGAGAAACAGCTTTGAGACCAACGTAAACACCCGTATCTGAATCATTTTTAACAATCAACCTTGCTAGCTTGCATGGATTATGAAAATTTGCCTCAGTATTTATTTCTAACAGTTTAGTCCAAAATTATTCATTCATACCCATTTAGGACTTTGGATTTAAAGCAATCGTTTAACTTCACCACCATGTTTCTTCAGGTTGGAAGTAACATTAATGTCCTGGAATGGACCAAAGTAAGAATTTTTCCATCCATCCATCCATTTTCTTTACACCCTTATCCCTCAGTGGGGTCGGGAGGGTTGCTGGTGCCTATCTCCAGCTAACGTTCTGGGCGAGAGGCAGGGTTCACCCTGGACAGGTCGCCAGTCTGTCACAGTAAGAATTTTTCAAGGAATCTAAAGATTAGGGTGATGACAAGAGGCATAAGTACTTGGATGAATTGAAATATTTAACATCTAAATATGTCTTAGGCAGGACTAATGCTGAGTTTAACTATAAGTGAAAAAAAAATCAAATCCTTTTAAACAAGCACTTTTCAAAGAGTTTTTCCATCATGTTCACTCAGGTGCAAAATATGTGTCTAGACTTTGAAATAAGTATGTGACAAATTAATTTATAATATTTTATATTGATTAAAAGTACAACATAATTCAAAGTGGAGATGTATCTTACCCTTTTCTTTAAATTAAATGCTTCTCATCTTCTTAGCCCTCTCTCTCTAGATTTATCCATTGAAGTAATCTTAATACTGTTTTGGTTACTAGATGGTGCAGTTTAATAGTAAAAATAAGTTTTTTTTGTGTTTTTTTGTAAATTATCAAGAATAATATAGTCATACCAGTAAAGACAGTAATTCACATCATTAAATGCAATTTCCTCTCAATTGCATCATTCTTAAAACTTTTAATAATTATTGAGGACCCTAGTTGATAATGGGTAATTTAATTCAATAACTATTTTTATTTATTTTATTCTACAAGTCTGTCATGAATTGTGTTCCTGAGATGCTCTGCGACTTGTCAAATGAGTCTCCAGACATATTTTGTGAAATTCCACTGGATGTCCAGTAGATGGCACTGTTCGGGATGACGCCATAGAGTTCACTTTTCTGCCTTAAATGCGATCGAAATCCATACATTTACAGGCGCTCTTATTATCCACTCTGTCGAGCACGGTGCATACAGTATTTCTAAAACTTAATAGATTTGCAGTCTCATCAATTAATCGACTGCAAAGTTTTATTGTATTTTTCCCTTTAAGACTCAGGAAACATGCCCAGCAGAGGTCGCTGTGTACCTGTTTGAAGAATTGCAAATGAATGGCGCTTTGCAGGAATTGCTTCATGCTGGTAGACTTGTGATCCAAAAAAACCTCTTCACAGAAATAAATGTCACCCTCCTGTGAAGAGAGACGCATATAGAATCACCAGCAAGCACAACAAATATATTCTGCAATTGCAAGGAGAACATTGGTGTTAACTAATCAAACCGCAGTGACTGACTGACCTTGTCGCCCTGCAGGGCATCTCTGTAGCCTCCGAACAGCAGAGCTTGAGCCTTCAGGAAAGCTCGAGAAACACCACAGCCAGGAGACACTGCCTGTCGCTTCAAGCAGACCTTCAGGCCGGACATCTGAGCAAATAAATGGAAGAAACCTGCTGATATCTGCCTGATGTTATCCATGAAACAGCTGGCATGCTCAACTAACACAAAGCAACTCGCTGAAATTACAAAGACCTGAATAAATATGTGTTTTTACCACATCTGCAGGTATCTTCTTAAGGTCATCAAAGGGGGTTTCCAGAGTGTTTGTATCAACATTCAGAATAACCACTTCCTCTAACCCACGACTCCTCACCCGCTAATGGATGGAAATATGTTGTCGAGAAGACAGGCAGTAAGAATAAACTTGATCAACTTGCAAATAAAGCTGGTGGGGGGATGTGAGCGACTCGGTTACCTCCGAAAGACTGGTGTGGACTCCAATCAGATAAGGCATGGGCGCACTGTAACGGCAAAAAAGGAAATCACGTTATTCTGTCATCAGGTAAATATCCACACTGCAAAAACACAAAACCTTGCCATGTATCTTCTGTCTGGTTTCTACAGCAAATATTTTAGGAAGATTGAAATAAGACAAAACTAACTTACAAGAAGCTTTTTAGCAAGTCGCAGGATCTTGTTTTAAACATGCTAGATCCACTGGCAAATTATGTCACTTAAGATTTTGTGTTTTCGCAGTGTACGTGCAGGCGGATTGGTGTGTTAGTGTTGGGGTTAGGATGGACGGATGGACGGACGGACAGGACTTCTCACCAGCAGTAGTCGAGTAGATGTGGTGGCAGGACAGGGATGAAGATGTGCTGCCAGTACATCGGGTATAAAACAGCACTGAGAGCGTGTACGCAAGACGTTAGCTGCACACACAAAATGGAGGAGAACTTCAACGTGCATGCTTATCTACTTCACATGTGATCAACGAGTATAGAGAGTTGTATTTGTCACAGAATGAAGCAATGACATTTTAACTCTATGTTTAGAAATGGTCTAATCACACTTAAAAGATAAGTGTTGTTTGAGGTATGAGTATGATCAGGGTGTTGGAGATGGTGTTAAAACCATGCAACAAAAAGGGGAAATGAAAACGTGCGTCTTACGGTGCTGAGTTTGCTGGAGAAGATGAGGATCCGCCTCTCGAACAGCATGCTGGCATAGAGCTGAAGGAGATTCCCGACATCTACTGCTACTATCAGCTCAGTCAGGTTTCTCTAGCAAAGCCAAAGAGACAGGGTGTGTTTGTGTTTTGTTCTGGTATTTTATGAGATTTGGTCAAATTACAATCTCAAACTTTTGATAGATTTCTTTGGGATTTTATGAGACAGCCCAGCACAAAGTAGTGCAAAACCCTGAACTGGAAGAAACATGAACAGTTCAAAACTGCTTATGAATGAGTA